GGGATTTACTTTTAAAATAATTACGTTTAACCTTCTACATGGCATACCTGTTATACCAAGCAATATTTGAATAGTATTCTTTCAATCAATACTCTTTCTTGCTGAAATTCTTTACCTTTCCACTTCAAGCTCTTTTGACATTTTAACTTAACAACTTTCTCATCAATTCTATTCTCATTTAAACAGAGCAGTAACATCCTATAGAATAGGATAACTGCTTCTTTCAAAGCAACATAGTGAAGTGCCCTTTATACAAAATGTGTCGTTCCCCACTCCCCACAAACAGGTGAGATGTCCATGGGTTCCACTTTAGAGCTGGCAATCCTTTATTTCTAGGGCTTTTAAAGAAAATTAGACCCTATCTAGGGGTCCTATTATTAAAAATGTCAGTTTCACTACATTAGTAAAACATCTTCAAAAGCAAATTTATTATTCTTGATATATATAAAAAAGAGATTCTGAAAACAGGTAACTGCATTAAGAATGAATTAGGTCCTTGTCACAGATCTATCCATGAGGTATCCTGGAACTCCATGCTTCTCCCTTTGCTTCCCAAGGGACAAATAAGGTTTCCCTGGGATAACTCTCTATCCCTGAAAGCCTTAGTTCCACTGTCCTTTCACCAGACCCTAGAACTACAACAGGAGATCTGTGCTAACTCCACATAACTCCCCTGGCTTTGAAAATACCTAAGACAGTGAATATTTTAATTGGGATCTCAGCCTTGACACAGCCTTTTAGACTCAAGAACCCCTCAGAAAATGCCAGCTCTTACTTTTCCTGTAGGCAAAGACAGCAAAAGCTATTTCACAGCACCCTGGTTGACAACCTCTGCTTTAATCCAAACTGACATTCACTGTTACAGTAAAAAAAAAGCCCAAGACTAATCATGTTTGAGAATGCCATCTAGTGGTTAGTAACTTTAGTGTAATACATACATACTTCACTTGTTCATTTCAAACAAGTATTTTCACTCAGGGTGGGGAAAGGGGGGGCATCTACTTGAATCTATACTGAAACCATAACATATGTCAAAACTATAATTACACACATGCTTACCCTTTACAAACTAGAGGTGAAATCCTGGCTCTACTGAAATCCATGAAAACAACTCATGTGGACTTCACAAGAGGAAGAAATATACTTTTTGCAAAGTCCCACTGAAATCAATAGGGCAACTTAAAACACACAAGGTTTAACATATATGTAACAATTAAGGGTTTCAACATTTTCTCCCTTAATTGTTCTAGCAAACTAGCTTTTAAAAAAATTGCTTCATTCTGTGGTCAGGCAGAAAAAGAACACTTTCTACAGGCAAAGGAATTATTGGAATTTGCATCTTCAAAAGCAAGAGATAGAACAAAAAACAACTGGCAAGCTAAAATTATAGTGATCTAAATGTGATTTCTTACATTCCTAAATTCTTGTTCAGGAAAATGTGTGACCACACAATCCTCTAATTCAGGAGTTTTTAAAGTAAAAAAAAGTTCTGGAATGAAAAGTGCTATTTAAAGTTACTGAGAAAAAAAAGGAAAAAGGGGGAGGGGAGATACGCGCGCGCACACAAAAAAAGCCCCCAAAATTAAACAAGCTAAGTTTTATTAGCCAAGTACAGATGACAAATTATTAGCTCATGACAAGGAGCACTATGGCCACAAACATCTCCCCCATGATGCCAGAGAATTTTTTATGGCAGTACAAAATGCAAGTGAGCAGATGTCCTGGCCCCTTATGCCCCAAATGTCCAAAAATGTGAACATAACTATTCCTATTGATAGCCTGTGCTGCTTGATCATGATAGATGCCTCTTGGTTATCGAAAGATGGATCCCTACAGCCCAAGACTTCCCACGCTTTTCAGCTACCCCAGACAGGCAATTCTGGAACATACACATTTTATGCTGTAGGGCAAGGGAAGCCCATGTGGTTCCCTATTCCAAACCTGCAGACACCCACTCCAGGTCAAGGTCAAGGTCAAAGCCAGGCAGCCAAAGTCACTGTCTTGCAGGATAGGTCCTCTGAAGCCCTGGGAGTGCCAGGAGCCCAATCCTGTAGGACAACAGCCCCAAGGGATGTCTGTATCTGTCAACCAATTGGGTCGCATGTGCTGGGACACACCCCAGCACAACTGATCCCACAACAAAAACAATGTCTATTTGTAGCCTAAAAGTGAATTAATTTGCGGCTCTGAAACTACTTGCAGATATATATACTAGTTAAAGGATATAAAAAACAAGTTTAAGTTAAATGTGCCTCAAAATATTTTATTAATGGGAATTTGAGCTGTTTTACACTTTCCTATTAAAATATTTTGAAAAACATCATAAAAACTTATCAATATTTATTCTGTTAACTTTTATATTCTTAACTTGGAAGGACTGATCAGTTTCATTTTCAAAGGGGAATGTTTACTTGTACAAAATTAAAAATATATTGATTCTCCTTAAGTTTTAAAAAAAACAAGCTTTTAGTAACGCCCATTTTGGGGCCAAGTCTGAAATTCTTCCAAGTAATTCTAGCTATAACTTACATTTCTATAGCACTTTGGACATAAATTTCAAATTCCATAAGGAGGAGTGTTTAAAATGTGAAAAAAAATTGTAATAATAAATAATGATATCAACTATCACGTTATCACAATATACACTTCATCTATGAATAACACTTTTGTGAAGAAATAGCACCTACCTCCTTAAAGAATCTGGCCAAGTGTTTCTAAATAAAAGCTAAGAAAACAGAACTTTTCGAAGTAGCATAAATGGAAAAAGGAAGAAAAGTTATTTTGCTGAAAAGAAACATTTAAACAGTCTTATAAAGAAGACTTGCTATAATGCGAATGACTTTAAAAATTTGTTTTACCCTTGGGCTGCTGTAACACCAATTCTTTCACTGCAAGTTTGACGCCAACACTGCTCACCATTAGTACCTAAGAACCGAGTTTTTTCCAAGGCCAAAACATTTGAAAGCTGCAGCACTGCCACTCCTAGAAGTAAGTCCTTAGCTATTTTATCTTTGTGCCACAATTCAACCAACAGTGGTAACCTAAAACAGAAAAGTGCATTAGTACTCAACCACCCAAAAACATTAATCTTTGGAGGGACAAGATCCCCCTTTCTAAAAGTTAGTTTCCAAACCAGTCTGGAGGCAGGACGTTGTTATCACCCACAGCAAAAACATACTATTTCTTTTACACTGGGGGGGGGCAGGGGGAGGGACTAGGGGTGCACCGATAGAGATTTTTTGGGCCGATACCGATAGTTGATTTTTAAGGAGGTATATCAACTGATACCGATCCGATTTCCAATGCGCAGCCTAGTAGCTTGAAGAGCAGTGTCCAGCTGGTAAGTATGTTGTGGTGGAAGGGGGTAGGGGGAGGAAAGGGGCATGGTGGGGGCGCAAATAAAGGCCCCTGCAGTGAGGGGGGAAGTGGGGCTGGGGCTGGTGTAGGCACTACCCAGCCAGGCCAGGACCCCTCCCAACCTCCAAGAAGCATCTCCCAGCTGCCCCGCCCTGCCCCTGTAAGCATGGGCACGGGTCCCAGTGCCGCCATCCCAGCCACACAGCTCTCCCCTCCTGGAAGGGACAGGCACCTTCCTGCTGCCCCCGTGCCCTGCCACAGTTCATGACCTTTTGACATTCTTGCGACCCATGGGTTGAAAAATGCTGCCATAAGGCATTAGAAGTTGGGCCCTTTGACCATGCCACATTGGACATGGCCATTGGTGGTAGGTTTGGCTCATTGTCACCAAATCCTGCAGCACCCCCACCACACCAGTGGCTGGTGCAGCAGCCCTTATGCCCTAGGTTGGATCATGCCCCCAAGGAGCCCCACAGTCCAGATCCAGCCTGGGACCCCAGGTGAATTTGACACCCCTGATTTAAATGTTTTAGCTAGACCGCCATGATTGTTTTATGTTGCTACAATATATAGAATTTTTCATCAAAATCATGGAGTCAATTTTAAAATCTTTTCCATTCCTAAAGATGAATTAGATTCATTAACTTCCTCTCTGCTGCTTTACTTCAAAGTGTCCCTTTAAAAAAAATTATGGTGAAAAATAAGTGTAAAGATTGCAGATTCATTTACTCTCCATTCAATTCACACTGGACTGGAATGGTTTTAAAAAAAAGAATGATCCTGCCTCCCAAAGGTGGCAGAAGGCTGGGGCTAATGAGGCTTAACCAAATGTGGGGCAGCAATGGCACTGCAAAGGGTCACAGCACAGACTGGCTGCAGGCCACAGGCAGCTGCAGCAGGGGATGAGCACAGACACAGACATGCAGCCACAGCCTGCACGAAGCCAGGATTACAGCCTGGCGGCATGTGGAGCACTGCCCACCACAGCAGACAAGTCTGTGAAGGGGAGTGGGGTAAGGGGGGCAGATCAAGGCCCCCCCAGTGACGGAGGGAGTGGGGCAGAAGCAGGGGCAGGGGTGAATGGGGCCCTGGGGTCAGCCATGGGATAGTTGGAGCCTGGGCAGCTTGTCCAGGGACATGGAGGCACTCGCGCTGCTGTGTACACTATGGGGGAGGGACAGAGAGCACATGCCCCCGCCCCCAGAAATGTGTGCAGGGCGGAGGTGGGCTGTCGCTGTGGGCCGGGGTTCTGCGCCCTACTGTTACTGCCTCGGGAGCCACACAATGCCGTATGTCTCTCACCAGCATGCTGTGCTGCATCCCCTGCCTGTCTAGCAGCAGCAGACATGGTGTTGCACAGTTCTTTGGGCAATGGCAGCAGGGCACAGAGCCCTAGTATGCAGCAGCAGGCTGCTTCCACCCCATGCACAAATCCAGGGGGCACATGCCACCTATTCCTCCACAGGGGTGTGTGCAATCGTGAGAGCCCCCCAGTGCCCCTGAATGAGCTGCCCGGGCTCCATACATCCCACAGCCCTAGCTGGGGCTCCATTCACCCCAGCCCCTGCCCTACTCCCTCCCTTACTGTGGGGGCCTTAATCTGCCCCCCCATCCCTTCCCTCTCCACAGACGTGTGTGTGTGTGTGTGTGTGTGTGTGTGTGTGTGTGTGTGT